GTTATCGGGTAGATATGACTGCATCTAGATTCAATCTCACGTGAGATCGCATCTGTAGATAATAGTTTAACCATCTTTTCTACCTCAAGAGAGAGAATATCCAACAGGGAGAGATATGTGTTTCAGGAATATTTTACCAGAACACGGGCAGATATTTGTGATAAGATTAGCATCGCCACACGATCTCTTCCGATTGGGGATTTCATATGGATTTCCAATGAAAAGGTTCTTAACTGTGTGATAGAAAGGAAACAAGAAAATGACTTTGCCAACAGCATTTCAGATGGAAGATGCAAAGAGCAGAAGTGGAGAATGAAACAGTTTTTTGAAAGAATAGTTTATATTATTGAAGGGGCTGGAAACAGCAGACAAAGAAATATATACAATATAAATAGTGGTCGACGCAATAGTATTAAATGCGATATATCTAGCAGTGCTCCTAAAGGTTTTTCAATTTCTCTAAACAAATTGGAAACCAAGATGGAGCCGAAATTCACAGTAATAGAAACAGAGGATATTAATGAGACAGCTCGAATTATTGAAAAAATACATTTCAAAATGGTGGATTATTATCAAGATGATGAAGTAAGCTCCCAAGTTCAGAATTTTTCGGCAGAGAAAAGAAATTATACAAATTCACCACATATCAACAGGAGCCTGTTAGATTATGGGGATTTTGTGGATATTGCCTCCAAAAACAACCATGTAACCACATCCCAGGTATTTTTGATGAGTTTGAAAAGTATAAAGGGCATTTCAGGTAAAGTTGCTAAAATAATAGTGGAGAGGTATAAAACCATTAAGAATTTCAAGGACAAAATTGACAATGGTGAGCATTTAGAAAATGATGGTGCCAAACACGAATCTGTAATGATGTTTTTGAAAAAGCATTTATCTATTAGACTATCTACAAAGGTAATTGATATGTATACCTGAAAATAAATAAATGTTGAAAAATATGAGACACTCTGTTCGACATCTCCTAGGATTATGCCATATCTTTATGGATACACTTATTAACTAAAGTCTTAAGAAATTGGTTTGTCAATAAGGCCTTTTCAAATCATTAATATGACAAAATATTTCAGAAATAATAATATTGTTGATATATCAATATATCCAAGCTAAATTTTGGGATTAGTCGAAAGGTTTTATCAAGGTGCCTATAGTTTTCGTATCTCAAGAGATATCAAAAAACTCACACAATACTGGTAGTATACATGAATTCTAATGTGGGAAAACAGCCACCCTTTCAAATTGTATCCCATCCACAGATAAGCTATATTCAATGTAAATTTTTTCGACAAAATTTTTAGAGAATTTTTTGTAACCCTAAATGGCAATTAGAGCAGCTGGTACATACGTTTCTAAGAGTAAAGGAGCCAAGAAGGGAAAGAGTAGAGGCAAGGAAAATAGGTTTAACAAAAATAAGTTCTTCAATCTGACATCAAGACTGTTTCCGGTTACCAACCATGGAGAAACCAGTCATCCTAAGATGAGATCTAGACAGGATTTGACCCCATTGCTTATTGGAAGAACGTTTTCAGTCAACCAAGGAGATTTAGAATGTGCGGATCCTTTGCAGGCCATCAACAGCCAGAGGAATTTTGACTTTAAAGTGAATAAAGTCCGAGGACACGACTGTTTGAGTGTGTTCAATGGAATGGAAGTTGCTAGGGAAAAGGTAGCAGGAATGATACGAAAGTGGCATACCCTTATCGAGGCCGATGTGGAAATTGCCACGAAGGATCAGAGTACCTGGAGATTTTTCGTAAATGCAGTAACCAAGAGAGGAGTATCGAAGTCTCAGAAGAACTATGCCAAAACATCCGAAGTTAAGGAGATTAGGAAAATTATAGTAGAAATAGTAAAGGAGCAAGCTGAGGGTCTTGAGGTAGAAAAGATGGTTAAACTATTATCTACAGATGCGATCTCACGTGAGATTGAATCTAGATGCAGTCATATCTACCCGATAACGGCCTTGCTCAGAAAGGTAAAACCCATTAAGAATATGCAATGTATCGTTAAGCCAAAACAGTCCTCTGATTTGGGAGAGGAGGAGTCTTTGGAGAATGAATTTCATGAATCCGATGAGGAATAAATAAAGAACCTTATTAAATGGCTTGTTAATGGTTTAGAATTAAAGTTGGTTTCTGTATTTAACTTTTATGGATATAAGAATCTGCACAATTCTCAGTTGCTTATTAATGCATCACATCATGTATGCATATCCCTGAAAGCAGTTCTAAAATTTTTATATACCCTTCAATGCTCGACATTTTACTCGAGAAATCCATTTTGAGTGTTCCTCCATCAGCTTTCTGCTGGTCCGAAAAGTACTTTATATTTTACTCCGAGTCTCATGTCAGTATTTATGACCTGGTTAAAAATGATATTCTAAGATACAAATATGAAAATGTACAGCTTCTAAAGATCTATGGAGATGATCTTTTCGTGTGTTCAAATGACATCTATGTTCTAGATCTGGACAAGTTCGAGATCAAAGAAATACTGAGGATGTCGAAGTCAAATATTTGTGGCTTAGAGTTTTATTCCGATAATATGCTTGTTTCGAAAATAGACTCTCATGTATTCCTGTATAAAGTCAAGAAAACTCGTACAAAGATAGTCTTTGATTTGGAATTTTCTTTCACCACCACAAATGTACCAGAACAAATTTATATTAATTCCAAGTATTTTGGTTATAGAAGCAGTGAGCATGTTCAGATCTACAGAAATTCTTCAACTAGGTCGCTAATCAAATTGGTTGTGGACAGGAATATTGATGATGTTCAGGGGGTATTTTTCAGTCCAGAATCAATATTTGCCGTGGATATGGAGGGTGTTGGGTATAATTTAATGAGTGAAGATACCTTCCAAACGGGGATAGAAATATGCTGTACACTCCAGGATGGCGACATATATGTTGTTTCAAATGGACATACTATTTTGAATTTTGATACTAGTTTTAACTTGATTAAGCAGATTAATTTTGAAGAGATCTTGAGTGAATATAATAGGATTGAACCTTCAGATTCTTTTAAAAGAATTAAAAGTAGTTCTGATGACAGTGAAAGTGCCTATTGCTACTCAAATAAAATCATCCAGTTAAGTTCTAATTTGATTAAAACATCAGATCATGACTTTATATTTCACGATGGTTTTAGAATAACTAAGATTTTAATGTTCAATGATGGTGTTACAAATGCAATAAACCACGAAAATATGCTCATTTTATCCACACTCTCTGGATGTTTAAAGTATGCTAGTAATCATACATATCCATTATTCTCTGGTTATTTGATTAATGCTACAAAAGAAGCCATTACATCAATGAGAGTATGCGGAGACAAGATTGCTATTGGTTCTAAGGATGGTTCTGTGAAAATCCTTGCAATTAGAGATAACACTCTTTGTGAAATTCAAGAATACAAATTTGATGCCTCAATCACGTCTGTGGATATTCGATATGTCGATAATGTGGAATATATATCCGTAGCAACATTTAACAATGAACTAATAATATATAGGGATGGAGCTATGATATATTCTGAGGTGGTTCATTCCAAGCAAATTAACCATGTCAATATCACAGACAGTCTGTTTATTACATCTTCATCGGATAAAACAGTTAAGTTTTTTGATTTTGATTTGAATTTAAAGGAGACCATCAACTCCGATAAGGTTTTGTCCACCAACTTTAATAGCAAGTATATAATTGTATGCTCTCACAAGCAGTTCAGAATATGTGATGCACAAAGTCTTGCAACAATAAGGGTGTTTGCAACCAAAAAGCCTATTCTTAGCAGCTATATTCATACTGTTTGTAATAAGACATATTTTATCTGTGTAAGTGATGTAATAAAAATCTATAATACCGAAAGATGCTTAGCATTTTATGATTTTGGTGTTACAAATGGCTGGTCATTTTCATATCCAACAATTTGTGGAGAAAACAAAATAATTGATATTAAATTGGAATATTCAGAAAAGGTGGATTTGAAAGAAAATGAAGTTTTTACAGTCAGAAATGATTATGAAAATTTGATCAAGATTGAGACGGATCTAAGAAAGCAGTTTCATATTATTTCCAAGAAATACTGTGAAAAAGTGCTTAAAAACTGTAAGGATGTTGGGGCCATGCTGGTTAAAAATGGGCAGTTAAAAGGATCAGACTTGTTTAATAAAGTCGTTTCTGATTATTACAAGCGAATTGAACCAAAATATAAGAGAGAAATTAAAACTATTTGTGAAAAACAGCTGGATGCATTAGACAGAATTTTTATGGATTTGGAGGGTTTGGACTACTTTGAAACATCATAATATTTTAATAAATTATACTATTTATAGATATGGTAAGAAGGAAGGCTATGGCGAAGGTGAATAATCCTAAATGTTATTAATATATTGTGGGTTTTTATTCAATGTTAATAAATGTGATTTTAAACTTTACAAACAAGTTGATAAATCTTCACAAAGTCTCTATTGTGCTTAAATAATATCTATGTCCAGGATTAAACATCTATAAGTAGAAGCATTTATTTATTGTTTTGAATTCCCACATTTTGGGCAGAAGGATGATTTGTATGTTGTGGAAATCTGGCATTGGTCGCATCTGTATGTTTTAATACCACCCATATTTCCATTGCATTCTTTACAAGCTAGATAAGGATCTGAAGTGCCACATGGACAGCAGCATACAAAACATATATCACAGTACTTTTTGTCTATCCTATATTCAGATGAAGATGTATTGGCACAGCATGGACACACTATCTTCGAAGGAGGATTTTGATAACCAAATGGGGTTGTAATGGATATCGGTTTATTTCTCTTGTTACATATAAGTGGGCATATCATATTAAGGAGAAAATAAGATTTGAATATATCCCATCTACTGCTTACGGGAACCAATCATATTTTAATTCAAAAAGATCAATGGAAATAAATCGCAGAGTGCTATTATAATCAATTAATAATCTGGTACTTGTACAACCGCATTATGATTTTCGAACTTGTATATGACTAAAAAATGTTGAGGCTAGTTTTATGAAGAAAATGTATTGGTAGCTCAGAAAATTGCCAATATCAAGTATTGAATTCTAACAATTTTATTTGGTTCTTTGGCACAAGTCAAATGACGTTTCTTTGGTTTGATATCCACATGCTGGGCAAAAAGTTAAACAGCCAGATATCTGTACTCCACAGTCCTTGCATCTTGTACTCTCCTCGTAGATAAAGAAATATCCGCAATTTTTACATCCAAGGGCATATCTCTCCTCTTGTGTCTCCATCCATTTAAGACAGCAGGTATGATGTATCTCGTTAATTCTGTAATTGATGCCTGTTACTGGTTTTTGACAGCTGGGGCACCAAACATTCTCAACCTCCATCCCATCATTCATCTCAGAAATCGAAATAGTTTCACTTACACCTTCAGTCATTTGACATCAGCAATATTTTAGTTTAATATTGAATGGGCAAATAAAATCAGACCATACTGTTAAATCTATGAAGTGCTTGAAAAATTATCCAATCAGAGCAGCAAACATTCAATATGATTGTTTGATTAAAAATCAATATTTGATTTGTTAATTTGAAGGCTTCAGAGCCTAGCAAAATAGGCTATTAGTTTGGTAATCACCAACTATATTAAAACAGGTATTCTCCCTTCTGTGGAATTTAAACTTTATTCTAGTTCCAGGATTATTTTATCTATAACATTTGGTCTCGCTGATAATGATGTATCTCTCCTATCTACAAAATAGCCAATATTGTTTAATAAACAGTGGTTGGTAATTCTTTAATGAAACACATTGGTTTAATAACAAAAGTAGTTCAAATCAAAGACTGATTATTTATTTCAGATATATCTTGGATCTCTAATGTCTATCCACGTTTGGATCATTCTCTTGCTGATCCAAAAACTCATCTCCCCCACAGTTTGCACAGAAATCCGAATTACATGGCCCAGACATACCACATCTAGAACACTCTCTAAATTTAACAGCACCTAGTGGGAAGTTACATCTCGAGCAGGCCAGAAACGGCACTGATGATGTACAGGGACAGCATGGAATAAAGCAGATGGTGCACATTCCATATTCCCTTCTATATACGGCAGATGACTGGTTATCACACTTTGGACAGAATATCTTTGATGGTGGGGACGAAAGCCCCTCTGGAGTGTCAATAGTAACGTCTATATCTACACAGCCACAGATCAAGCAGCAAGGTTGGCAAAAGCACATAAAGGAGAACGGTGTAGTAAATAAAAATAAATATTTGAGGGGTAAAACAGGTTTCGAAATGGGATGATATTAAAATGATGTAATATTTCACGAATAGCAAATTATATGTACAATCTCTATATTTGACATGCTTCTATTGGCTCACATTACATATTTTCTGCAGAAAGATATTATTCAATAAAAATCTTGGTATATTGTAATAAGAATATTTAATGATACATACAATATTAAGCCATTTATGATAAATAGTTTGACCAGAATTTTCAATACAACTACTAACGTAGAACATTAATAAATAGTTAAATGGAAGTAATTCTAGCTAATAACTCCAACAGAGCTATTTTCTCATTTTTACATATCCCCTGAAATGATGCTTCAGACAATTACACAAACAGTTACAACACTGAAATTAGTTAGACGTAAGCGTGTCACTTGGGCTGCAGGAACAATAGACAATTCAAAGATGAACAAGAAGAGTAGTAAAGTGTGTTGTATTTTCCACAAAGCCCATGATAACAATCACCATTGTGACAGCAGCACACAGATTAAAAATAAATACGAAAGACAGTAGTCTAGAGTACAAAAATGATATCTGTATAAAATAGAGATATAAACAATACTGAAAACAAGAAAACAATTTATTCCTTAAATTTGTAACTTGACTGATTTTTAGTGAAAAGCGTATTTTGTGGAGATAACTGTACATCCATTAAAGTATGTATTCAAATTTAATGATAATAGCCTCTCAATACAAATCTCACTATATTAGAATATTAAGAGCAGATCATATCTGCTTATTCTCTATAATAGGAATTGATTAAAGTTATTGTATGTTGTAATGATTGTTTAG